GTGTAACAGAGGATGTCGTTACAAGTTATTTGAGGGAAACATCATGCGCAAGATTCACTGTTAATGTGAATATATTTGTGATATTATTGATTATTTAATTACGTTTACTTTCCAAGTCAACTTAATCAAGGCGGTTATTAAAAACTTATATTTTAATTTATTTTGAAACTTTAGTAGGTAAATCCACAAAGTTATTAATTTTCACAAAAAAACGGCAATAGACTCAGTTAATTTGCTATATTCTACATCTAAGTTTATACGGAACCCTTTTTTTTACGTGTGAAAACCCCCTCGGGCCGTCGCCCGACCGGAGTTTGCGGCAGGGTGGTGTGTCAGAATCAGACCAACTAAAACCACACGGTTTGCCACTCTGCGCCTGTAATAGGAGGGATCCGGGAACTGCTGTTATTAAGACATCCGGACCGCAACGGCGCGGGCACCACCTTCGGGTACATTCTCTGTTAGGCGACGGCCTGCACACGCGGATGTCCGCCTCCAAATCCCACGGGGGAGTTCCGGCTAACGCGCATGCCGCCTCTGTCGACACGGTGCGGTAACCGCGTATGACTCTAACCGCCAATCTGGGAAGTCTTTACGGAACCCTAAGTGAGCGTTCAGACTCGTACTTGCCCTTTTTAAATACTTATTTGTTAGCTTGGCTTTTGAAAACCGTGGTGATAAATAGTTTCTTATCAGGCTAAGATACATGATCGGAGAAGATAATAAATTCATCTTCTTTTCAGTGTATGGTTATAGCGTAGAGTGCGGCAAAGAATTTAGTAGGCGGGATGGCTGGCAAAAACAGATAATAGCGATTTGACCCTTGGGCAAATAAGGGCGTTAGAAATCAATCAATAATTGTTTTTTTTTTTAAATTGGAGGCTAATTAGGATTATAAAGAATGTATACGCAATAATACACTTTACCAAAGGTGATGAAATATACAAGGAAATAGTGATTACTCTTACTACATGAAAAGGAGGATACAGCACAGACTGAACGTGCATGAGATGCAATATAATAATGTACTCGTACATGACTTAACATATCTTATAAGACAATACAAATGATACATCCTTTGTGTCTCGATGTGATTATCCATTTGCGACCTGCACTTGACACAGAATAAATTGATAGAACACTTGACACGATTCAACACATTAAAATGAATATCAAAGGACAGAGCTGCTAAATGGATCCCAGGACCAAAGTTGACTCTGTTACTTCGCCCTTTGCCAAAAAGCTTAGATATTATTTCGAGTTTGAGTCAAGTGGTTCTCAAAAATGTAGACGATATATTTTAAGTTCTATTATTTAGTGTAGACAAATCACTCACATTCGTAGCGAGATGTTGAATGCTCTCAAATATTTCTCAACACTTAAGTTTTTAAATGCAAATTTTTTTTCAGATCTCACGTTACGTCCAGAGGTTATCGCATTAAACAAAAAAACTATTTCTTTTGCTGTAGTAAATTATATATCTCAAACGTTAATTTAGTTATATAATATAGATTAGGTATGCTTTTTTACATCTACTTTTAATAAGCATACTTTAGGTAGGTACACTCGTTGTGGGATTTTGACTGTCTACGTTAAAAGCAAACATTAGAAGTTTGTCTAAATAAAAAATAACACCGTAATAATTGGCCTTAACCCAAGAATTTTATCTGTGCCGATAACAAATATTATTTTAAATTTTAATGTAATGCCAATTGTTATAGTTCAACACAATAGGTATGAATGCACCAATGGCTCCATCATTTGAAACATAACAGTGCCTCTCGCCAAGGTCTCGGAACACAAAAAATCAGTTTATAAATCACGAATTTGCTACGACATGATTTATTTAATTACTTGTTATTTAATACTAGCTTTTGCCCGCGGCTTCGCCAGCGTGTATGTCAGTTATGGCGATAAAAAGTAGTCTTTCCTCGACAATCAAAGATCTCCATGCCAAATTTCATTGAAATCGGTTCAGGTTCAGCGGTTCAAGCCGTAAAAACGTAACAGACAGAGATACTTTCTCATTTGTAATATTAGTAGGGATGGTGATTGTATAGGTATTTTTCAGTTCTATTCATTGTCAATGTATTGTGATAATGTGGCTTCTATATGAGTCGAAAGTACATAAACAGTGCACAGTGTATAGTACAACACAAGCAGAATAAGCTAATGCGTTATTGTACGAAGCTTGGCTTGGATATCAACAAGTTAACTATTGACTGAGCCCAAACAACAATATTTGACCATATTTAAACGGTTAAAATAAAATTAAACTTTTTAATGTGTGGTATTTAAAAAAAAATACTTTTATAAATATACACTAAAGGAATAAAATTAAAATATGCGAATATTTATTGGCATGCGTGTACTCTATCTTATTCAGTTTGAAGATTGACGATTGTGGTTCTTTGTAGTTATGAGTGATGTAAACTACACGTACAATTATAGCCTTCCTCAATTTACTTTTAACTAAAGAAAAAAATGTGGCGTGAGAAAGCCATGTTTCGGCACAAAAAGGCCTTCTCGCCCGGCGTGACACCACGGCTTCAAGAGAAAATTAAGCAAGAGTATAAGAGTGCCTCTGTGACTATAATTGTTGTAATTTTTTGCAATTTAATGTAAGTTAATGAGGTTAAAATAAAAAGGTATCTGTACAAAAGTCACTTTTCTTCTTATTATTCATCTCACATTCTACTTCTTCTAAATTTTAAAGTAAAGCAGTTCTAATGTCTGTGCAATCTGCTATGCTAGCAAAAATCTCATTTCCCACAATAGGGACACCAGCGCAAGAAATAGGAGGGCTGCTACTATAACCCGTTCTAAATCAACTTGTGTCTGTAAAACGGTACCTACGACGAGTTATGTTAGTTTATGAAGACGATAGATTACCGTAATATTGTCATTAATTAATTGCACCAAAATTTCCTTAACTAATACTTCATGGAACTGATGATCATTATTGAACAGTTAAAGTAGTTGTTGCTCGATATTAAATGCTTAAAACACTAAACATATAGTTTTGTGGTCAAACAATACAATTACAGTAGGATTGTTGTAATGGTATGTTACCTACTAAATAAAAACATTGCAACAGTCAGATAACTTCATGGAAAATAGAGAAAAAAACAGAAATACTCTGATCTCGACATACTGCCGTTTGGCTAGGGGGGGAGGGGAAGGCACTTGACTGATACAGAAATCAGGGCCAAATAAACGCGCAACTTTGAGGGTACTAAAGGTAGACAAAACTTTTTTTTTGAAGCTTTTATTTTACCCCTATGTCGGCGTGATTAGTATACTTGTTCATGCGAAATTACAGGTTTCTAGCGCTAATAGTGTGGACAGACAGACGAACGGATGGACATCACGAGAATTTCGTACGTATGATTATATTAACTAATTTCGACGACATTCATAACTGTTCGTCAGGCGGTGCCGTGAACGCTGATGAAAATGCTGCCAATTCAAAACTCATGAGTAATTTATATAATATGGTTATAATGAGTGTAGTATTGTAATTAACTTTAAAGAATACAAATCGTTAATTTAATATATTAAACTAGGAGCCACCAAAATTTGAGGGTAGCTTTGAAACAATATGAATTTACTGGCTTTAACAAAATGGTATAATGTTAGTTGCTGAACTTAGTTACGGCTGTTTGTGTTCTTATATGCATAACACAAATACTTGAATTACATATAATATGTTATGAAAAATAATAACTTTTTTATTATATTACATATTGTGTTATATATGATATTATACCTTTTTTTTCTGTAAACTACAGTCTTTTTATAGTAACAAATTTAAAAATATGTCCTGTAATTAAAACAAAAATACCAAATAGTTAGCAGGCACTGAGGCTTGAACCGTCACCACTCATGCTCAGCGATCATATCACACAGTGGAAGCGAGATAATGATACTATTCTGCCACTGGTTCTAATGACTATTGTGATGAATTTTAGCATCGCTTTCAAATAGATGCTACCACTCAGAGTTCAATATGAAGAAGGGTATAAGTAGGTGTATTAAATTCTATCTAGTCATAATGCATAATTCTGTATTATTTAGTTAGAATGTGTATGTGCATTGAAACATAAAACATACAGAGCTTAGCTGAACATTACAGAGCTTAGCTGAAGAAAAAGGAATTGTAATGTAATTCTTAATTATTTTTATAATTTCTCTAAGTCTTACCAACTCTAAATATCAAACTCTTCCAAGTAACAAGCGAAATGCACTTCATTACAGACATTTCTATTCCTAAAAGGAGATGCCAACTGCTATGTTTACAAGCCAATGTGTATAATGAAATAAAACATTTTATGTTTTTTAGATCTACAATAAATTTAAATGTACCTCATTGTATTTGAAATTCTTACTCTGGGTATGCAACTGAGGGCAATTATGGTAAATTGCAAGCAGAGCACATCTACTATGGTTTTGGTCATTTTATGCATTTGGTATAGAACTAGGTGGATCTTTTTACAAGCAATCACTAATATGTCTAATAATTTAAGATAGCATTTAAAACTCCATCTTAAATGAATAGACAGGACCATAACAAAGGGTTCCAATCCCCTAATGATTCTTATTAGAATTTAATAGCAAATAAAGTGGAATAAACTAATGTGAAATTTGGACCCCACAAATGTATGGGAAAACTTCTATGTTTATCATTAACAGTTATCTAAAGACAAATTATACACAGAAAAATTTAATAAATTACTGAGGAAAAAATCTAATCCTAAGATGAGGTAGAAACTATCTTGAGAAAAAATATGTTACCATTTTTTTATCTGTGCTGTACCATTATACTATTTAATAGTAATTTATTAATAATAATAGTCTAATAAGAATAACCATAAATAATATATATTTTTATAACTAAGTTACAATTTTTTTTGTATTTTAATTATAAACCATAAAAGGTTATAAGAGGTTTTAATCTATCTTAATGCCAGAATTTAAAACGAGCTAAAACAGCAACTCACCAATTTTTCCTCATCAAATTCTCTTCTTTTGGTCCCATGATGATCACTTGCTGCAGACTGGCCTGACTTTCCACTGTCACTCTCAGGGTCTGTGGTGTCATCAGATCCACTACTTTCTTCCTCACTAGAGGTTGTCTCGTTAGCAGTAGCAGGACGGGTAGGATCCGAGATCAGTAAAGCTGTTAGGCCATTTTCCAGTCTTATCGTCCTTTTGAAATCACGAAAATACCGTCATGAAAGATCAAAGTAATTTGAGAAGAAATACAACAGTGATATAATTTTTATATTTAGTAAATAATAACACTCACTTGTATAGCTTTTTATCTGCAGCAGACTTGATAGGTTCAGGCAACACTTCAACTTTCTCTTTCCTAAAAGACATATTTATAGGTTGTTTCAAATTTTTTATCACCTTCACTTCAGGCTTAAATTTAGGAGCTCTGTGAAAACTACTTCTTTTAGACATATTAAGTGAACTGCGTTTGCCGACAAGATAACCAGATGTTTTTTGAATAAAAATGGACAAGAATTTTGACATTTATGTGTGCACGGACAGGGTGACAAGCTTGAGATTTACCAATTTACCAAACAGAACAGTACATAAGCTACCAGTTTTTTTCATTGGTATTATTTTTTAAAAAGAGGAGTCCTTGATTATGCTTCAATCATAGAGATATAAGCATAGAGAGACCACGGGATACAGCTGCCTGAGAGTGGAAACAATACAAGCAACGAAAGAGATGGATGCCCGATAGTTTCTCCTGTCTCTTTGTAGCTAAGCTGTGACTGGCTTTCGTTAAGTCGGCATGGTTTTGTTGATCGTAGAACAGGTGGGAGATTGGAAATTTCCCTAGCCAACCACAGAGCGCAACTAGGAAGAGATAGAGGGAATTATCCATTTTCCATCTACCTCGTTATTTATATTGCAAGATTGGGGCCCTTGATTCCTCTATGCTTATATCTCTGTGGTTTCTATTCTAGCAGTTGTCGGCGTAGGTAGTGCCCCGAGTGCCTACACAGCGAATCATGGTTTAACGTAAACATCACCCCACACATCTGAATATCCTGGGATTATAAAGATTCTTCTTTGATAAAATTTAACCTATATGAATTTCAGAACTGTATATTTTTTTGATTTTACGTACTTCATCATCAGCCTATCGCAGTCCACGGCTGGACATAGGCCTCTCCCATTGCAAGCCACTTAGATCGATTTTGGGCTTCTCGCATCCAGCTCCTGCCAGCCATATTGCGCAAATCGTTACGTACTTAGTTTTTAGTAAAAGTATAGCAGTTTCAAGTCGCTTCGAGTCGGTGCGACCGCCCCAACTCCTATCCCCAAAGCCTAGCCGACGATCGATGGACCGATCGACGATTGGAAGGTAATACGCGATCGGTCCATTACTATTTTATTTGTGCCATTTTTATTTGAGAGTATATGCCATGCCAATGTAGTGTTTGTATATTCTTTGACATTCGCATTACAGAATAAGGTTGGACTCGGTAATCCGCTGTCTTTTCTGACAAATACAACTGACACTTTTTTGTCACTGACAACATTTTCTTGACATTTCATTCAGTAGACTTAATGTTGTTGTTGGGTGCTTGACTTGTCTTGTCATTGTCATTGTCACATTTCAAAACTTCGACATAGAGTTAGGCGGTAACATAAACTTTAAAAGTTTGTTTTAATGTTTTTTAATGAATTGTGATATCAATAAATACTAAATATGGATGATGTTCACTCTGACAATGATGTAAGTCTTTCGCCATCACAAATATTGGAGCGATTACAAGTGTTGCGACAGTTACAATTAATGCAGCGCGGGAAGTTGCAAAAACAACGATTACAGTGCAAAGAATCTTCTGAGTCTTCCTCGAGTTTTACCGAAATTGTCAGTCACTTTAGCAACAGCACTAGCTATAACACCTTTCGCAGTCTACTACAATCTTCGAGTGATATTTCTGTTGAAGGTACTTCTCGACTAAACACTAATGATTCACAAAAGGTTCAAGAACGCGACCTAATCGAAGGCGTATCCGTTTTGAATCTGTCTCAGGAATCTGAATTCATTGTAAGTTCTCCTTTATCAAGCAGAAGCCGAGCCTCTGTAGCTTCCAAAGGTTTAGAATCTTCAAGGGAATACGAAAAAATACCAGTAAGAGATTCGTCACCAAAAGGCACTCCAAGAAAATCAACTATTTCCCCTGTGATTGGTAAGTCTAGTAATGGAATATCGAAAAAACAAATATCACTTGAAGACATGCCTATTTTATCACCAAAAAAAGATTTTGAGTCTCTTTTGGTTGAAAAACTGCAAACAGAAAATAGTGTTTCAAAATCTACAATTTCGACAGTGAAAAGTACATTGCCTGAAAGAAGTAAAAAGCCTTTTTTAAAGAGAGGTGAGGGTATTGCTCGATTTGGTCTCAAAAATAATGCTTTAGTTATACAAAGTACAAAGTCTTTGCCATGGAAAAGAAAAAGTGTCCAAAATAAATCTTTTGAATCACCTCTGAAACAAAACATAAAAGAACTAAGGCATAAATTACAACATAACCCATCTGACTTAATAGATCAATTACTAGTACCGGAAGTAAAAGTTGATACTTTAACTAGGAAACATAAAGAAAAACAAAATATTAATAAAACTGAAAAGGTCTCTTGTCAAGAAAGTAGTCAATCAAATATATGTGAGAAATTGCAAACAGTATCTAATTCTGAAAATAAAAGCAATGAAAACGGACCTACCACCTCTAAAATACAGCCTTTAAAAGCAGTACAAAAAATCGAATTTTCTAAAAACACACATCCACAACTTAATAAAAATGGCAAAACATGGGCTGCAGTATTGACCAAAGAACAAAATGACTTTTTAATGCAATTAAAACAAAGTGACTATTATAAAAATTTTTCTTCCCCAACAAAAAGTGAAGTGTCTGATGCAAGTTGTAATGACACAATGATGAGACTGCGACAAGAAAGAGAGTCTGCTGAACAACATATGTTTGAACTTCTTGAAAACAAAGTAAATAATGAAAGTTTCAATTTGGAGAATTCATTCTTCAATCGGTTTTTGAGAAGGAATAATTTGGAATATTCTGGTGAGAGCACTCCATTAGTTATGCATAAATGTCTATCAGAAAATCCGAACTTAATGCACGTACTATCAGGCTTGACAGCAAAGAAAAGGAATGAAAACTCTCATAGTGATGCTGAAACCTGCTGTAGCACCTGTACAGATAGTTGTAGTGATGCTGGCTCATCTGTATCATGTTGTTCTTGTAAAACAGTAGAACGAACTACAAATTCTACTCTAAACTTCACTGAAGGTCCAGAGAGAAAGAAAAAAGTTTCTGAATTTAAGAACAACAAAAGACAAGTAAATCAAAAGGAGGTTGATAACAAAACTGATGCAAATGTCACTATGAAAGAAACTGATGTCATGAAAGCAGAGATGGCAGAAATGAATGCCAAGTTAATAGCTACAAGTGAACTGTTAAAAGAAAGGCTGTCTGAATTAGAAGATGAAATAGAAACATTTCGGAAGGAAAATGCAAATTTAGCTAAATTACGTGAAGAAATTGATCTAGATAGACAAAAGTTTTATGAAGAGAAATCTGCTTTTGAACAGAAACTAAATGAAGAAAAAGTATTATCTGAGTATTATTTAGCTGAAGAAAAAGAGAAATTGTTAAAACAAAAACAAATGTATGATAGATATGTAAAAGAAATGAGAGGAAGACTCAATAAAAAAGATAAAGATGAGGTTATCAACCTGAAAAAGGAAATAAATGATCTAAAAGAAGAAATAAGAATAAAAGATGCAAAGTCAACATCAACAATAGCTAGACTACGTAATCAAATTAAAATTATGGAAAAGGAAAAAAAAGACTTACAAGATGAAGTAGAAAAATTAAAAAAGCTGAACAAGCGTATTCAACATAGTAATGAAGTTACACGAAGACTGACAAATATTAAGTATCTTGAAGAAATAAACAAGAAACTTAACAACATGGCTTCTAAAGATACTAGATCTGAAGTAAATGTGGATCCTAACATAAAGTATAAAGCTTATGAAATTGAAAGACAGAGCAGAATCAGAAAGGTTGAGCCCGTAACTAGAGAAACAATTAGACCATTGAAAAGAGCAAAAAGTGTTCCAAATCTTAATGTTACTTCTAGATATGCTAAATATTTCAGCCAAAGAGATACAGCCAGTCAAATTAATCAGAACAAACTCTTGGACATTGAAAATTACCTTGAATCCGATGACGACAAATTAGATGTTGATGACGAAATTGCATCTCATGATTCTAATAAAGAAGATACTGCCACAAATGATGAAGATAATTATTTAGAAAAAATGTACTTGGAGCGATTCAAATCCAACTCTCCTAAAAGTAATAGATCTAGTTGTTCTAGTTCTAATTATGATCACATCTTAACAGACAAACCACAACTAAGTGATAATATGAAAGACTTTTTTATTCCAAAGCCCAAGTCAAACTCACTAAGGAAATCTAAATCGCCGAGAACAAAATCTCCTAGTTATAACAGTAGTCAAAACCAATCTAAGTCTCCAGTATCTATTACTATGAGTAAATCACCAAATTTTGAAAGCAATTCTAATAATACTTATGATTGGAATCAATCCCAAAAGAATTCAAAATCGCCAAATTCCACATTTAATCACTCTTCACTTAGATCTGCTACTGTAATTCATAATAGCCAATATGGAAATGCACAAATGGCTGTTAGTCCAGAACCTATTGTTAGTAGAACTAGTTTAACTAAAACCACTATGAATCCAACAGAATATAAAAAGAGTGATGGTTCTACAGAGCTCAGATTTCCAAATGGCAATGTAAAATACATATCAGCAGATGGAAAACATAGCAAGTTTATGTATTACAATGGAGATGTTAAAGAGAACTTTTATAATGAGGGTAGAATAAAATATTTCTATGCAGAGACAAAAACATACCATACTACTCATGCTGATGGATTAGAAGTACTGGAATTTCCTGAGTAAGTTGCATTATGGTTTTATATTATTATGACAAAAACTAATTGATAATGTAGACATGCTTTTTAAGGTTTCAACAGTACTTTAATGACTGTCCCATTAAGCTTCTGTACAATCTAAAAAAAATTAAAAGGTGCATGACCTTTTAATTATATTTCATGTAGTATATATAGAAGGGCCTACAATATGAATACATCATATTTACTGTGTAGTTACACTGATTGCGATCACAAAATCTGCTGCTAAAAGATCTTGAAAGTTCATTATAATTTTAATTTGGGTATTAACTGCAAATAAAAAAATCTTTCTTTTTTTAAAAAAAAATCCGAGTCCTAATCAACAATACTGATTGCAAAACGAAAATAATTAGCTCCAGATATTATTATTATAGCAACAATTTGAATTCGTTATGCATTGCTATTATTTGAAAAGTGGAACTTTTATAACCCCTCCAACTATTCTGGATACAGATCGTTTCTAATAGCGATTCGTCAGTCTGATATAGATTGCCGTGATCGGGATTTACTTGAGCGTGGCAGATTAACATAAGGAGAAATACCGTACACTACCCAGTTGAGTACCTCCACCATACATATAGGGTCGCTCCTCTAGGGCAGCCAATCAGATTATTAAAAAGAAGAAGATGGTCAGACATACTCGAGCGTGTAAGATTAAGGTAAGTTAGTTATTACAAGCCTCAAAGGATGCATTTAAACAATCTGACGTGACATAAGGCAGTATGACCTTGACATTCTTGAGCTTGGACATTTTTCTTTATTTTGAAGCAAACTACAAGAAATCTTTAAATATCTACACAATTTTTCGTGCCTTTATTTGTCACATTTTCTGATTGAATAAAAAAATATAAAAGTGATAAGATATACATAGATGGATACATAAACATAGCATAGGCATGACGAAAACATCAAGCTCAACCGACTTTATAAAATCTAACACGTTCGGGTATTTCGAAATGGTGGTTTTTCGAATTTGCAGTTTGCATTTTCAAAAATTCGCTACGTGCTTGCGTCTTACTTGTACGAGCTTTAAAATCGTCAGAACTTTCAATGGGAGCATTTTTGGCGTCCAAATACCAAAAAATCTTTCAAATGCAATAGGCCCCCATGACGCTCGAGTAAGTCCCCATTCAGCATCATCTCCAATTAATTGATGGGTGTTAAGTTATTTGATGTGCATTTAAAAATATCCCTTTCAATTTTGGCAAAGCGGAATTACAAGCTGGGCATGAAATATTGAATAAAGACTACTTTATTAACACATTTTTATAAATATTTACAAAACTTACAGCATTGTCTATTATAGAGAATGGTTTATAAACAACAAAAATATAAAAAAGGTTAATTTGCTAAAACTCGATAATGATAATTTATTTCAGTGGTCAAGTAGAGAAACGCTACAAGGATGGTTCATCAGAGATCCGCCTTCCGAATGGTAGCATCCGGTATTTCGACCCTAAGAACGAGCATGTCCGAGAAGAGTGGCGGTTCCCCGATGGCGCTGCGCTCACTGTTTCGGCTAACGGGGAGCGACGCATTGTCTTTAGTAATGGACAAATCGAGGTGCACGCTAAAGATCACAAGGTAAACCTACAGATCTTAAAACTATTTTTATTTCGACTGTAATATAAGAAACCAGTCCACTGATGTGCTTCGAAATCATTGGAATATATATTATTGATATGTACTGTTAACCCATTAACTACTGAGTAGATATGCATTAAATACTTTAAATTCGTCTGTTCTGTCAAAGAAAGAAGAACATTTATTTTGTGCTCATACATATGATGTAACCACAGGTATACAAAATATAATTTATTAATGTACCATCAGTAGATATTTGTCAAATTCCTTTTTCTTACCCCCAAATGATGCTCAACATAAAAGATAGCACCAAAACTCTTGCATTAATTACACATTGCGCGGGCTCTAAATAAAATTGAGGAGGTAGGAAAATGATGATTACGATGATTGTTTACGTTATTATATGAAATAAGTGTATAATATTAAATTACAGCGTCGAGAGTTTCCCGACGGCACGGTGAAATTGGTTTACAACGACGGTACGTCTGAAACTCGGTACGCGTCGGGGCGCGTGCGCATTAAGGACAAGCACGGCAGTCTCATCATGGATTCTGCACCCGGCTGATGGCTAATAAGAATGTTCAACAAGGTTTCCCTACGAATAGTTAAGTTAAAGCTGAATGCAGTTTTCTCAGGCCTAGCCCCTTTTGTCACTGTTAAACTGTAGTTTTTAATGAATGTGATAATAAGAGAGATATTAAATATAGACAATAAATCTATGAATGAAATTTAAACTGAAAGTCTAAAGTAAGTTTAGCATCTTAAATGAATAGGCCTTCTGTAGACTACATAGAAGTTCTCGAGCCAGGCTCACCTTCCCAACTTTCGTTAACCATACCTCTAAAAATTTCGAAATTAATCTTAATTCGGCTTTATCTTTTTGTCTTCTTCCGTTGTTTGAGGTAAATTAATATAGACTATCTAATTCTACTTAAAGGAAATGTGCCTGATTCGAGCCCCAGTGTGTATTATGTCAAATTATTTGTTATGCTAGTATATTATTTGATGCTTTTATTCCTTTGATTTCAGTACTCTTAAGTACTAAAAACTATTACTTTTTGACATCTTAAGATTTTAAGGGATCCCAATATCATTACTCAAATTATGTTAAATGCATCACAGCACAGACATCAGACATATTTTCTCAATAATCACTTGGGGTACTCATGAACGGCGGGATTACGGTGAACGATGTGTTGGGTCTTTTCTTTTAACAGTTTAATGAATTGTGATAAATTTTCATTCTTATTTATACAATGTTTATAATTGTTAATATTTATAGGTAGGATTTATTTAAGTTATAATGATTGTAATAAAAATGTAGTAAAAATTTTGATGAATAAAAAATGTTATATATTTTCCTTCGTTTTTTTTACATTGTTTCTAGCAAAATCTTACTGGACTAGAAGGTGTCGGGGGTGTAGTTCGGTCAGTCAATCACTAGACTATCATCCACCATCTAGAACATTCAGTAAATTTTTATTCATATTAGAATCTGCTTGGTAGTATCAGTAGATCCCTTCTTTTACCGGACTGCGCAAAAAAGTAGAATTATGTTTTACGAGTATATATATGTTTTTAGTCTAAACGGCTTAATGGATTTTGCTTGAGGGGCTTCGTTGAATTCGTCTTAATTGTGAGAGAGACCCTGGATATAATATGTAAATTATAAACTGTAGACTGGATGGCGTAGTGGCTTGTGTAACGGATTGCTGTGCCAAAGGTCGCGGGTTCGATTCCCGCTCAAGTCAAACATTTATGTGCATGAATATTTAATGTTTTATTTGGTTTGGGTGTTTCTATGTATAATATGTATGTTTTTACAAAAAGAAAAAGTATGTATGTATTTATATTAGTTATCTAGTACCCATAGTACAAGCTCTGCTTAGTTTGGGATTAGATGGTGTTGTGTGAATGTGGTAGAATATTATTATTATTATAAAAATTAAAATCGCCGGTTTGTAAATTTTAAGTACCTGTACATTTTCATTTGGTTGGGTTTTGTTATTTTCAATAATTAGCTTGTTTAAAATATATGAACCACTCTCTCACCAACATGTGTAGAGACAATTTAACTCCTCACACTGATCAGCGCTCACTGGTGAAGGCACTTTACAGTGTAGTAGCATTTCGCTGCTTATGAGAAGATAATCAATGAGTTGAGCATTAATACTGTGGTCAATATACATAGGTACATCATAGTCCGGTCAAATTAGACCAAAAAATAGGAGCGAGGTTTCAAAAATTAGCACGCAGGTGAAAATTGGTAGGATTGTTTAAAACACCACTATAAATGAAATGTAAAAAGACTGGTCAGAACGGGAAAACCTGGTCACAAAAACGGTTTTTTGCGATTTTCAGCAAAACGGTATATTTTATCATAAAATTAGCCCAAAAATTGAATATCAGATAATTTTCTGTAAAAAATGTCTTAATACTTTTTAGTTTTAACGTTTAAAGAGCCACCGTTTTTGAGATATAACAAGTTGCAATCGTCATAATATGTATAAGTACACCACGCATATACATCACTGAAGCTGTAATACAAGTAAAAATATTATTCTATCAGTCAGTGTAACTTACACATATAAAATGTTATAAATATGAGTATGTCGGGTAAAAATGAATAGGATAGAAACAATATTAAATTTTGACATTTATTATAATTCTACTTCTATGTAACAATTAGATTCTTATTTAACTAGCAGAAATCTGGTATCGCGTCTGTGAAGCTGTCTTAGGTAGACCCTCGAGCTTGAAATCAATTGGTTTCATGTGGTCTTCTGTACCAAATATCTTTTTGAGGGCTGCTCTAGCAGCCATTTCCTTAGCAGTTGCTACTGTTTCACCATAACCTGGAAAATATTAGTGGCGTTGATAGGTGATGGTTTACTAATGACAAAAAAACGTAATATATATACAATTTCAATAATTTTTACCATCCATAATTATAGTAGGAATAAATAATAAAGCAAGAAGGCTAACCAACTCTTCTCATCCATAAAGTGTAATTATTGGATATCAAGTGAAGTGCTCTACATAAAGTACATACTATATGGTGTGGTCAAACAATTACCTGAAGATATCATTTTTCTGTCAATATAGAGGCCAACTTGGTAACAAGCAAGTAATGTGTTCTTGCCAACCTCCCCAATCAGCCTAGGCTCTAACTTTCCACCATCTTTTTCTACGAAGGTGTTCAGCAAGCTCCATGGGTCATCTATCTGCCAAAATTCGTTGATATCTTGACCTATAAAATTATAAAGTTGTAAATAGTGGTATATTTATTATAATACTTATATGAGATGATTATTGATCAAAGTGTACAATTTTTTAAATTATATGTTACTTACCCTGTAGTTGTGTGATAACAAAATCTCTGACAAATCGCCCAGTTCTCTCTTCCGCAGATGTCTCAAGTAATACACCAACAATAGCCTTAAATGTGTTTGCAAGAATTGATTCCTCCACTGGATATTGCTGAACAGGAATAAAAGATGTCGGATGTTACAAGTCTTATACATTATATAACACTTACTAGCTTCACTAACGCAGGCCTTATTTACTAAGAGTAAGCCAGATTATAAACTATGTATGTGCTAAATTCAATTCATATCTTTTCAACTGCAGTCTGGCAGAGAAATAGAAAAATATATATATTTTTAAATTGACATGATTTACTACATACATAAACTTATGCAGATATACACATTTACATTATATTTGTACACTATGAATACTAGAATAATACTGTAGTGTACTGTAATATTTCACAAGCCTAATTGATATGATTCTATTACACTATCTTTATTAACACTATTATTTTTCTTAACTGTTAATTGCCTTTTTCAATAATAATTAACAATAATTACCCATACATGTATAATAAATACTTACACTAGCTAGTATGATGTCTTTAGTGCCTAAATGCAGTGATATATTGGCTAACACAGCTTCACTTGTTAAATGTTTGACGACTCCTTTTATTCCTTCCAGTGGAAATTTAGGTAGAACTGATTCTAAGTAGGTCTTTATATAATGGCTCATAAATTCCTCTCCTAAAAGCAAGGCAACTGGTTTAATGCACATAATTAAATTAAAATATATAAATGAGAAACAATATAATACAAATAGGAATTATTTTTGTGTATAGAATACTGTTTATTAATAGGAATGTAATATATATAGGAAGTAAACACTTGAAAATAATTTAAGTAAATTGGTTTACTCTCGTTTTAATTGAAATGGTCATAAACAAATTGATCTCTTAAATTCAGAAACAAAGCTTTTATTCATTTATTCACTCAACATGTATTTTGGGGCCCATAAAGCAAATCTAAGTTACTTAACAAAGAAACTTGCATGCTGCAGAACAGTGCTGACAAAATACTGTGCCATCATCATCAACAGCCTTTAATAGTCCACTGCTGGACATAGTCCTCTCCTTAGAAAAAAGGTTTTTGCCTGCTATACCATGGTGGCGAGACGGGTTGGTATAGGGCTTGTGTCAAGTTCCCCTTTTCTTTGAAGTGTTGTCCTGTGTTTTCTGCTTCCTTAGTGGGCTTTTATAACAGTGTGTTCATGTGGTTAAGGAATAAGAATAGGGAGTGTCACCACCCCTATCAACAAAATACTTTGTATAAACTAATATAGGCCTTAGTTTTTTGAATGAATAGTACTTTACTACTACATTCCTAAAAAAATATTGTTACCTTTTTTTGCAAGCTCACGGTTATCATTCATTTTTATATCAATGCCCATTTTTTTCTGTTGTATTTCTTCTTTAATTACATAAGATCTGTCAGTAAATGCTTGTAATAATAAGTCTGGGTCGAAATCTTCATTAAGCCTTTGCCCAAATGCAAATAACTCTGCTTCTAAATTCCATTCCAAATAAGTGTTTCTTGGATAAGTCTTCTTCCCTCCGAGCTTATCTTCACGACGTTTTAATTCCATTAAGGTTGGCGCCACCCATCGATGTATTTTTTGACCTATAAGCATATAACTGAGTAAACAATGATCCAAAAGCCTGGATCCTCTGTCAGGCGCAGAGTGCAGACCCTGTTGGAGCCGAAACCAGTTGCTTTTTCTTACACAAGTATAAACTATCTATCAATAATAGTCAACAATATTATTCTTCTTAAATATTGTATATTTTTGAATGCATAACGATCGTGCTACGTACTTTGAACAGTTATTGGATATACTCTCATAACTTTAGAAAAAAGCGGCATAAACCGCCTAATTAAAGCCATTGTTGGATATTATTACAGTATGCAGTGTTAATAAACTACTTGATGACAACTTTGTTTCAAAACATTTTCTTTTGTTGAATTCTATAATACTCGTATGAACAAATATGTCAAACTTTTAAGGTTAAAACACTTTCAATTTAAGTAAGAATCGATGACTGACAGGCCTGACAGCCAGTCTTATCGTCGCGCGTCGTCGCTTGTCATCCAAAATCCAAATTGAATGTGTATACGGGTAACTTTGAATGAGTTAAATGCAGGTATTTTTTTATAGTCTTTTTTAATTATTTTAATTTTATGTTTTTTTTTTAAGTAAGAAGTAACTAACTACCTATTTGGCGACTTTGCTATGTGAATTATGTAATAGTGTATGTAACATGTAATGCTTTCTCAAGCTGATTTTCTAAGTGATTTTATGTTGATTATGTCTACAAAATAATTACGATATTTTTTATCTGCCACACATCCCGCAACGGCTCAATTATTTTTGTAATGAAATAACCGACCAAGTTCAAGACAAGGACGGTTCCGTAGTTTACGATCACCTATTGAAGTTATAACTTTATTTTATAACTAAGAAAAAAGAAATTTTATCTAAGAAAAAGCCAGGACATTTTCAAAAGTTGAGTGGCTACTACTATTAAACTAACAAATCTGTCTGTGTGTGTGTGTTTTTTTCATTTTTTATTTGTCAATCTAACAATTTAGCACTTTAATTTAGTACTTTAAAGTGTATTATTTTTAAAATGGATGATTAAGTCGAAAAACAGTAATTAAATTAATTCATAACTATTATTTCTTTCATTATAAATTTTTATTTTATACCATTACCTAGACTAGCCTACCATTATATGTTTGATGGCGGAAGAAACATATATTATGGGGTCGTTCAGCTGGTGATCCTCGCTATCATCTAACACAGGCGGTGGGCACAGGCGATCGAGAGGTGAGGCTTGTAGGGTTAGCTTCGAAATAGCGAAGGCGTTCGATGGGGTCTGACATAAAGCGCTTCTCTCGAAGTGCCCTTCCTATGGGTTGCCCGAAAAATTGCGTAACTGGGTCACCAGTTTTCTTCCAAACATAAGCATTTAGTTCGTTAGCGACGGTTCCGACGGCTCCGACTTTAAATCTGTTAATGCTGGTGTCCCGCAAGGCTGTGTCATGGTGCGGTATGTGCTATCACCCACGCTGTTTTTTCTGCATGTCGATGATATGTTGCAAACTAGCAGCACCCATTGCAGATCATACTTGGCATGGAGATGTCTTTTATACCAGCCGCACTAACATTTCTCAGGAAAATGTCAACGAGGGTTCGAGGGCCGAAACAAACTTGTATCTAAAATGGAAACTTTCTTAGCGGAGGTTTTAGATCGGGGTCGACAGAATCTAATCCATTTTTATTTATTTATTATTTAATACTATTGCAACGTCCAAAATACAATGTACGGTAATAGTTGCAGTAGTATAAACGGTGTTGCAACTATTAACGCCCGCTTCCCAACATGTATAAACACTACATTGCAGTATTCGTTTGTTACAATACATTTCAAAGTAAAAAAAGAGAAATATTGAATATTAGAACAACTAAAATAAGTGAAAAGACTGAAAACAGTACTGAACAAAAAAAAATTATAAAAAGGATGATAATAGGACATTTGGTCACTCGTGTGTGTTCGTGTGTGTGTATGTTCTTTTATACGTGTTTCAACACATCTTTATGATACTTTCAGTATCCTCATAAGACAACGCATATAGCTAGTCAGTCACCCTAACCATACAATTTTTTAATGTTAAAGGATATATATTAAGCTCTCTGTTAACTTTATTATAAAGTCTGGGACTTAGTAGAAGTACTGTTGGCCAGCTGCCGCACTTCTTAGAGTTTCAAGTTTACAGACTATCTGACCTTCGTGCCTTTGTAATGAATTCGGCGTCAAACGGTACAGTTGCATTCTTCCGTACAATTTTAATTTAAAGCACCCTGCAATGTGTGTAAAGCTCTGATGCAGAAAATGTTATAGGCTTACTCTAGCTGTCCCGGCAAACGTTTTGCCATTTACATTAATACAAAATTAAAAAAAAAAATTAGGGGTATGAAAAATAGATTCTCAGACCTACACGATATGCACACAAAAAAAGGGGTAAAAACACGTATTTTATGAAAGAGTTGTGATATTTTTATTGGATTGTAAAGAAATGTTCCGATTAAGTATGGATGAATAAATGGATGAAATGGACGAAGAAAATGTCTGGCAAATGGCCTACACGGCCCTGCATAAACACGCATAAACCCGAGATTTCACAAAACCCCGAAGAAAAAATCACACGATCTTGGTTGCCAGTTGACATCAGAATTTCGTGAGATAATGTGTTCTGCAAATTGTTGCTGCAGTAAGTCGATTCTTTCATGCACGATGTGGCAGGTGGCACCTTCCTGCTGAAACCACATCTTGTCTAGATCCATGCCGTCCAGTTGAGGAAACAAGAACTCCGTTATCTTATTCCTGTAACGAATGCCGTTCACAGTCACTGCAATTTTGGCCTCATCTTGGCAAAAAAATAAGGCTCAATCACGCCGCCTGACCAAAATCCGCACCAGGCAGTTGCTTGTTGTGGGTGCATTAGATATTTTATATTATTTGTGCAAGTAAGTATTTTAAAGTTACAGTTTGCACTGCCAATGTCACCGCAGAAATGACCACGAATAGAAAATGATTCTGGTGGTTGGGTTGCTGTCCTAAGTAAGGGAGGATGTACGAGGCATGCCTTTTAAGTTTTGTCGTTTGAAGAAAAAAAACACAACTAGAACCTTATAGTACTTTTTATTGTATTTCAAAGTATTCACCACGTAGCTTAATACACTTTTCCATTCGCTCAAACCAGTTATTATAACTAGAATTTATTCCACTCTAAAGTGGGGGTGTTCAAAATGGCTGACTTGAAAGCGTCGACTGCTTCTTCACCGGACTGGAACCTTTGACCACGAAGACTTTTCTTAATTTTAGGAAATGTAAAGAAATCGTTTCATGAAATGAGATGCCTGAGATGCCTAATAGAGCCTCTATCTCTCGATACGTTATATGACGATCTTCGAGAATAAGTTATCTCACAGCAATGATGTTATCTTCAGTGAAGGCGGATTTTGGGCGTCCTTCGCGAGATTTGTCACTAACACTAGTATGTCCACGATGGAATTCTAAATACCAACGTTCGACAGTCCGCAGACATGGGGCTTTATCACTGAACACAGATGTTAGCTCTTCAAAACACTGAAGCCGTGTCAGGCCTCTTCTAAAATTGTAGAAAATTATTGCACGAACATTTTCCTTAGAAAGATTCATTTTCGTACGTAACCTGACATTCCAATCGACGCTGTGACTAATCTGTGTGTGTGTGTGCATTAATCCTAATACTTTCAACTGTTTTGAGATTCAAAATTTAAACACATTCGAATATAGAACAGTTCAAAATTCCAAATTGCCGGGAAATATAGAAACGACAGAACTTCAAAGGCATGCCTAGTAACATACATGGATTTATCCAAGTTAAGAGTAAAGAGATTTTGCTTAAACCATTAAGTTACTGCACTCAAAGCCTTTTTTTAACTCTATTCCTAGTGCTATTATGAACCAGGCGCATTGTGTCATCCGAGTAGGCAACCACCCTACAATTGCTAATGTTAAATAAGCAGAGCTCATTTACATAAACAAGGCCATAACAAGTTGCGTTGGATTATGACGTCCCTTAGGGTGTCCCTTAAGGGACGTCATAATCCAACGCAACTGCATCATTAATGATGACACTTTTTGTGCCATTGCTGAGGTAGCTTTTGGATAAATTTAAGGCCAAACCGCGCACCCTGTTATCCAATTTCTGTAGAAGTTTGGAAACAGAGTCAGTGTCAAAGGCTTTTGACAGCTCGAGGAAAGTACCCACGACTTTCATGTAATTGTTAATTTTTGTTACAACCGTTTTGTAACCTTCAAAAACGACATCTTCCGTTGACCTTTTTTTTTTTTTTTTCCGTGCGGAAATCCCCTCGGATACCACCTGTCGGTGGCATGTCGGACTCGAACCGACTAAAACCGCACGCCTTCGCCGGTACTAATAGCCGGGGAACCAGGTATACCCTAGAAAGGAAGGCCCTGGTGCCCCGACATACCCGAGGGTCATCTACAGACGAGTAGACGACCCCCGCCCCGTGTGGGAACCCCATGTTCCCTGTGCTCCCTGGAAGCGAGCGCGCTTCGCAACGCGCTCGCCGCCACCCCGGCCTGCTTCTGCTAGGGTGACAGATGGCCTCACCTGTCACCCCCAGGCCTGCGCTTATGGAGGACGAAGGTCGTTCTGCGACCTCCGGCGCCTGAGTCGCCTGCGCTGCCTGGCCCGTGCCCGGGCCTGGCGGGCCGGGAGAGTTCTAAACCTCTCCCGGTCCCGCTCCGCCGTCTCCTTCGCGAGCATAACTTGCTCGCAGAAGGAGACGGCAGAGTTCCACGCACTCTCGCTCCGCACGATAGCCGCAATCAGGCTATCGAGCGAGAGAACTCCCACTCCGATGGCCGCCACGAGGTCTCGCCTCTGCTCAACCCACGCCGGGCACTCTGCCAGCGTGTGGAGAGCCGTGTCCACGGTCTGGCCATCGCAGTGGTGGCACTCAGGCGTTGGCTCCTTGCGGATCAGACACAGGTGATCTCCGAAACATCCCTTCCCAGTGATCACCTGCGTCAATCGGTATGAGAGGGTCCCGTGACGCCTCTCGAGCCAATCCTCCATAACGGGTCTTACCGCCGCAATGACGGCGTGCCCGGCGCTCGGTTGCCCGAGTCGTTCCCTCCACTCCCCTATGATGACCTGGCGGAGTTGGGATTTCCGGTCATCGATTTCTCGAATCTCGGGGTATCGACCCAACTCCTGCGCCTCCTTGCGCCACTGATACAGTGCTGCAAGGGCTCTCGCCTCCAGGTCCCACGGTGGAGTTCCGGCCAGGAGACTCGCCGCCTCGAAGGAGATCGTGCGGTACCCCCTTATGATCCTGATGGCCAGCATTCGCTGCGGTCGCCGCAGTATCGCTAATCTTCCGTTGACCTGCCATCTCTAAAACCATATTGATTGTTAGCAAGAATGTAGTTTTTGTTTAGATGATAAGCATTTTTTCAGATGAGTGAGAACAAATATCGGTCTCTAGTTGTTGACACTATTTCTGCTTCCATTTTTGTGTATTGGATGTATGACGGCTCTTTTGAGCGGATTTGGGAATACTCCTGTCATGAGACAGCAATTGAAAATAAGTTTAAAAATAGGATACATATGTAGAATGTGACGTTCAGAATTTATACTGGAGACAGATATTTAATCCCAACCATTGAGTTGAGTTGGCGCCACCGGATCACACCGCTGTTGCAGTGGGCAGTGTTGTTAGAAATTGAAGAGTTAAAAAGTTTATTGTTTGCAAGTTTCTGACCCATACCAGCAAAACAGTTATTCACTATATTTAGAGTGCTAGTAGGATTTTCTTTTAATCTGAGTAACTCACACAATCATGAGTGGGCCTTATTAAAATTAGCAATTTTATTAATGGTCGTCCTTGTAGCCTTGGGATTATTGCCGGCCCTCTGTAGTTCGCTTTCTCATATTTAAGTTTAATTTGCTTTAGTAAATTATTACAATAGTTCCTGTATTGAATGTAGGTGAATCTACATTCGATACAGGAACTAGGGTGTTATTTGTGCCATCGTTTTTACATTTCCGGAGTAAATTGTCTGTATTCCGAATGCACTATAGAAGGCCTGGAGTAATCCACGGCTTAAGAATTATTTTTCTGTTTGGAATAGCACGACTGCTAGAATGTAAGTAAACTAAGTACTGGTGTAAAATCAAGGTTCTTAATGGCTTTTAGAGTATCCAGGCGTGTGATGAGCACGGTCATTTGTTGTGTCTGGGTGTACTTTATCAATAATACATATGTATTTAGAAATATATGTAAGTATGGTTACTAGAGTACCGGCTCTGTCTAGTTTGGGATCAGACCTCCGTGTGTGAGATGTGTGAAAATATTATTATTATTTCTTTGAGTTCGAGGAAAGCAAGATGTGAAAATTTACTTACTTATTTAAGTTGAATTTTTAGTTAAAAACCCCCAGTTTTCTTTTAAATTAAAACAAATATTTTAGAACTTCATAATATACTTTCACACAGAAAAAAAAATAGTTTATAAAATGTATAAAAACATAAACTGTACAAGTATAAAAATATAAACAATTGTACAAAATATAGTCTCAGCTTTTCCGGTTCGTGAGAAAACCTCTGACAGAATTAAAAAATCCTCTTTTTATCTTGCTGTTTATTGGTAAAATTGTATGATTGCTGTAGAAGGATGCTGAAGTATCGTAAATAGAAGAACTCACCTCTACGGCCTGAAAAAATATTCAAAATCGACTTTAAGTTTGTTCATCATCAACAGCCTTTAACAGTCCACTGTTGGACATAAGTCTCTCCTTAGAAAGGAGGTTTTGGCCTACTATACCACGCTGGTCAGACGGGTTGGTATAGGGTTTGTGTCAAGTTTTCCTTCTCTCTGCAGTCCTGTTGTTCTGCTTAGTTTTTTTTTTAAGTTTGTTAACATTAAATTTTACCAAACTCTTTATGTATAGGGATAGGAAATCTGACACATAAGTTCCAAGCAGGAACCGGTAGGGTACCAATTTTTGGAAGTTTCATAATGGTTGCTTCATATCTTCTTTAATAAAAGTTCCATGGCTAAAGAACACTAAATGCACGGTACACAGGTACTATTTTTATAGAACTGTTTCGCCCACAACCGATGTTTATTTTAAGTAAGCAAGACTGCACTTACTCCAAGTGAAGTACTGATATGATATGAGTCAACGGAACTGTTGACACTGGGCATTTCTTGTGCAGGGGTGCTAGGTAGCTTGAGTACCGACGGTTTGGTCGACCGCATTACTAGGCAAGACATTAGTCGTCTCAAAAACGGTCTTTTGTTAGCTTTCACATCTTGTGGTGCCATTATAAACTTCGTGGATTTATTAGAATTCATTCCTTCCTCAGAATAAAGTGAATACATTGAAGTACCTAGATTTGGAGTGGGAGATTTCCTATGGCCTGAAAAAACATATTCAGTAGAAAATTCCACGAACTTTTGAAGAATATTATATACAATACTTTTATTATTTACAATATAATATATAAAATTATTACTTTACGCACTACCAATAGCGATAATTATAATTATCGCTTTTGGTAGCGCGTAATGTAATATTTATTAGTAAAGTAACAGAATTTCACTTCAACTCGTAAATCAAAGACATGTGGGTCTTATAAAAAATTGATAATGCAAAAAAAAAACAAAAGCATAAACAGGGGTTGGACACGGTGTTACAGGTGTTACACAGATCCTCTAAAATTTAACTAGCCACTACTCATAAGCGAATCCATAAGTAGGCACTGGCATACTCCTCGTTACGGCCTACGATTAGATAAAGCTCAATATAACTATCATCTATCTGTTGCAGTGTGGGACGACCGCTTACCCGATGGACGGACGACCTGGTAAAGGTTGCCGGAAACCGTTGGATGCAGGCCGCAATCAACCGTTACCGCTGGAAATCATTGGGAGAGGCCTATGTCCAGCAGTGGACAAGCATAGGCTGAGGTATATATATATATAACTATCACGTAATTTCATACAAAAAATAATATTCTAACCTCGAAAAATAGTTTGGATAGAGTTGACATGGCACAAGCTTGAGTCAGAATGCACTGCAACAGCAGAGTTTGTAGAATCGAACTTTTTCAAATACGATACACTCGTGTAATGTATCTCTAGGGATGAAACGGTTTTCTTAGTAGACCTATCAGCGTGATCGGTTTCTACATTGTCTTGTTTACTTTGGGAGTCAAATAACGTAACTGTTCTAATCTGTTCTTCATTTTCTGTGTGTTCAAAATGTCCACTGTGGTCTAATCTTTCCTCCATTTCAGCATTATATCTGTCACTTTTTTTTTGTTCTTCAGTATGTATATGATGTTCTACATTCAATCTGCAATATTCTAAGCTTTGTCCAAAATATTCTTCAGGTTTAGCGCTATGCTTAAAGTAATCTGGAGATCTTCTACTATGGGCGGAATATATTTCTTCATTTTCTTGTTCAGACACGCTGTTACGTTTCTCATATATTTCTTCTTCGAAGCGGGAAACACTTGCTTTTAAATTTTTATCAAGTATTGCACTATATGTTTGATGACCTCGTAATGATTTTTCATGTACCTCTAAAGATGGATCATATTCGATAAGCAGTTTGTTATGTTCTTCCAACGACTTGGTATGTTCTAATACCACATCTTGAGATTCATGAGTAGGTACGTAATGTTCCCATTTTTTGATAGGATGCACTTCAACCACTTTATTTACTTTACGAGTTTCTGTATTCTTTCTGTATTTTTCTGTATTCTGGAAGCTGTGGTGTACTCCAATATCACGAGTTAAACCTGCCTGATATTCTCTGGCTGGCGGGCGCTGAACGCTTATCGATTGAGGAACTTCACTTTTTATATTATATTCTCCACATGCTTTGTGACGTGTATGACTTATTATGACACGTTCTTTACTTTCATTGTCAATTAGTCCCCTTTTCCTTTGGCAAACAGCAATGGTTGGATCGTCACTGGCACTAACTCTAAGGAGTCCTGTGGTGTGATACTCTCCACTTTGTTTATAATATTTATTTACTGAATTAATGTATTCTGTATGTTTTTTGCTAGATTCGTGATGAGGCATATGTCTTATAGTATCTCTAAAATTAATGTAATCTGATTTGCGCTGTTCTTTAATTGACTTGCAACATTCTTTGTTTGGTTTATAGCGTTTACCACAATCTACACAATATTTTGTAATTACTGTGCAGTATTCTTTACTTCTCTTGCAAAAATCTTTAATTTGTCTTGGTTGTACTAATTTTTGTTTTATACTTTCTTCATCTGATATATGATGTTCTAAGCATTCCTTGCCACGTTTATTAGTAGATCTTTGATAATCTCCAATTTCAAAGCCGTTTTTTTCATTTCTCTTTGGGGATTCTGTGCATTCTTTTCTATATCTGTCATTTTGTTTTCGATAAGCTTTAGTTCCCAAGTGACAGTTTTCATTTAATATATGATATTTATCACACTTATTAAAATTATTTTCTTGAATCGTGTCACTTTGCATAAAATTGTCACCATTCTTTTGGTTTTCCCTGTGGTCATTTAATTTGATATATTTCATATTTCGTCTGCTACCTGTCAGGTGTTCGTATTGTCTTTGGGGCTTTACTTCACAATATTCTGCACTAGGCCTATAATATTCGTAATTTCGTGGATATAGTATGGTTGCTGGATGTGTTCTCTGACGTGCTTCGATATCACCTTTCGTGGCATTCTGTGAATAATTTTGAGAGCTTCCACATAAATCCCCAAATCCTTGATAAAAGTCCACGTAATTAAACTTATCGTTTCCAGCAAATCTGTCTTTGGTTAGATTTGATCTAGATGCCCTTGCAAGATACCTCACTTTTGATACCACCCTGGGTCTTTTGTATATTTTTTGAAAGCTGCTTTTAAATCCCAGCACTTCTGTTTGTATTTGTTGATTGCTTTGAAAGTATACATCTTTGTTTCTTCTCTGTCTAACTTGTCCTACTGTTATATCACTAACTCTCTCTTCAGATTTTTTACGTTTTTCTTTTTGTTTATTATTTAAAGCAGTTTGTATGGTTTTTTTTACTTTATCATATTGCTTCCTCGATAGGATAATAGGTTTTTGTTTGGAAAATTGTTCTACTTGAAGAAATACTTGTATGTTTCGATTTAGAATTAATTGTTGATATAGGGCAGAATTTTCTCTATTGCCTGCCATTAACGGTTTCTGATTATATCCATCGACATTTTTTTTATTACTCTGAGCCGAAATATTTACAAAATTCTTATCATCGTAATCATCATTATCCTGATAGGTTTGTGCAACATTACAAGTGGCATTACGACAGCAGTTATGGTGGCAATCAGTACGCCTTGCTAACTTAGAAATGGAACCAAGAATTGGGCAATATTTTACTAAATTAATTTCCGCCAGTTGCTTTTTCTCGCTAAAAAAAGGTTTCTAGTTTTACTTTATGTAATATTATTATTAATTAATTAATAAACAAATTTTAAAACAAAAAATATAACATAAACCATGCTCTCCTGTAGAAACAGTGCAACGGGTATTCGTCGTTTGTAGAAGAAGGTGCCTATAAACAATAAAAAATAATCAGAAGTAACAGAACACAGCCTTCATATGTACTTGATTAAGTAATTTTGCTACTTTACTGTGTACTATAGTTTTTTTTAAATTCAATTTGGAATAATAAACTATTATCAAATCTACTTTGGATATAAATCTGGTATAATAATTATCCATAACCTGTAGAGATTTGGGAACAAAACATCTGGATCTATTCACGCCAAGAAGTTCCCGGATTTGCTTGTCTCGTTCTACAGGATCACAAATAGAGCAAGCATCGCCTGTGTAGTGCTTGATTGGTGCTGAAATATAAATGAAATGCCTAATTTTGCAGTTTTGTTATTACGTTAATAGTAAATTTGAAGACCGTTTGATAGCTTTTTTATCTCCTGGCTTCGCACAGGTGCAATTTAGAGTACGACTCTAAATATTTTGGTTTCGCTATTTTGTAAGAAGGGATTTTATATCTATGGTAATTTAATTTTGCAAGCCGAGGTATTAAAAATTTGACTAAGAAACAAAACTACTACTGTGCACACAGTAATAGTTTTGTTTCTTAGTCAAATTTTTTTACCATAGATTTTTACCATAGATATAAAATCCCTTTTTACAAAATAGCGAAACCACGGAAAAAGTTAGTGTAGGTAATATAAAAAAATTAATAACATTTGTTACTGTGCTTTGTAAGCACAAATGTTAATTCCAAGGTTCCGCTAGCTATACTTCCGAATAATGGATCTTAAGATAATCAGGCGGGAGTTTTATTTATTGCGTTAGTATGTCTATATCATAAAACTCGTAATATCTATTTTTACGATTTCTGTGGCCTATGTCCATTATTCTTTGTTCTGCTTGGGGCGGGCTTGGGTGTAATCTAATAGGCTAAGATCGTCTGGAGCAGATCCGAACCTGGTACGTCGATCCTGTCCGGAGCCCGTGCACGGCGAATGGTAATGGGGGAGAGCGCAATAGTTGTGTAGATCCACATAGCCTCATAGTCTGGGTGTCATCCCTCTCGTGGTTGCCGCCTGTCTTAGATTTGATTCACTACGAAACAGATATAACTGACACACCCAGGCGCAATTCCATCCAATAAAACCCATCCTTTCCCACTTCTTTCTTATCTTTACCTTCTGCGGGCACTAAGTGGTTGGTGCCTGCGGCCTCATCATCGACAGAGAATGAGGGTGAGGGGGGAGAGTAACAACCCGCATATTTGTGCAGTGTCGTAGTTGACCCGAAAGTCAACACACTGCTTTGGCCTGGATTTCTCCTTACACGGGAGGCAGAAAGCTAGCCACCCTTCGGCTAGACCGCTGAACGCCCGCCCACGTATTCCTGGAATGCGAGGGAGTGGCCACACAACGGGCAAGTACCATACCTGGTACAAAATCGCTCCTAGAAGCCTGTGAACGCCCCAAGAGACTTCTGCAATTCTGGGAGGAGCTTGGTTGGCTCACCTAGCCAACCTCTTCTTGAAGCATAAAGGACCACTCTCGGTCTAAATGCAGAAATCGGAGCCCACAACCAATACCGATAATCTTTGTTCTATGCCTATATCCTGGCTTCGTCGTTATCGATGCTTGCTATCTTTACTCTGCAAATTTTTCAAGTCATTTTGTTTAAATATTATTGCCAATTAATATTTTCTATGCAATTATTTTCAAATTTATCATCCAATCGACACTTACGATTGCGCAATTAAATAAATTAGCTGTTGGTTTTTGTATGTCTGCTATCTTATGCTCAAACGGTGCATAGCAAATAAAATATACTCTCCTTTAAGCCCTTTACGCAGCTAATATATACATGGGTACATACATACATACATACTTATTACATAAAAAGAATAATTTGAAAGTTAAGGGTTTAAAAAACCCGCTTTTTAAAAGCAACCTAATGTAATGCTGCTACAATATAACAAAAAAGGGGCAGAATAGTCTTTTTGGTATAATAAATGCACCTATAAGTGTAATGTAGGTATGTTTATAAGTATATGAATAAATAAATACCTAAGAATGTGCTGTTATTCTTGAGATTTTCGGTGATGTGTGAAGGTATATTGTTCTGCTTACTACCCTTATCACACATTTGTTTCTCTTCACGACTGAAATACATTTAGCAAATAATTAATACACATTTTCTTACAAAACGAATCATTTTATTTTAAAGTACTTTTACTTCCAAACAAAGAAAAAAATAAAATTCTACCTAACATGTAAAAATAACAATACAAAAAAAAACTACCTGTGAAAAATTTCTAGACTATCTCGTATGGTCATTCCCGAGAGACGTATATCATTCATTGAACTTGCATCACATTGCTGAAAGTAAAAACAACCGGTCACACCTAGGGTTACACTTAAACAATATTAATTTATTGACAACTTACCTTATCACACAATGGAACAGACACTTGTTGAACATTTTGCTCCTTTTCGAACATCAACAGTAAATTTTCTAATGAAGGTGACATGGTTCTATTGGAACATTTCTGAGACTCAATTTTTTTTACTCTCCTATTGACTCTTAAATCTGTCGATAAATTACTTTGATCCAATAATACTTTGTAATATTCCTGGTTTCCATCTATGTTTATGGTGATCTTAGAATTGTCCCTCTTAACTGGAATCTTTTCTCTTTGACTTATTTGGCCATTGAACTGTTTTGTGTAGTTATCTATTAAATCTTTTTTAACTTTAACATGTTCTGTGTTTGTTTGTTTGTCTTGTGAACGAACAGGATTAATTCTCTTTAAAGGTGGTTTATTACTTTTGTGGACTGGTTTGAAACTAGAATTACCCACTCTTAAAGGCGCTGGGGCCTCATGCTTAATCTTTTCTTTAGCAAAATTTTTGTTCTTAATAACTTTCATTCCTTTATATGGTTCGGCATTTGTAGTTTGTGCTTTATAACGCTCGGCACTTGTACTTTGTGTTTTATAACGCTCAGCACTTGTAGCTTGTGCTTTATAACGCTCGTCATTTGTAGCTTGTGTTTTATGCTTATCATTTCTAGCTTGTGTTTTGTAACGATCATCATTTGTATCTCGTGCTTTATAACGCTCATCATTTGTTGCTCGTGTTTTGAAAACAATAGTTTTCTTTTCATTTTCAGGTGATATTTTTTTTGAAATATTATTTCTTACAGGTGATAGAGACCGGCTTGGAGATCGTTTATTGTATTTCTTAATTGGAATAATTTTCTTTTCTTTAGTCTCATCTACTGATGAACTTTTTATTTTCTTGATTGTGTTTTTATCTCCCTTTAATTTCTGCACATCTTGAGCTGAAAAAAATCAAATAAAGAAGAAACGAACAATCACAATACAGGTGTAATAGGTTTTCAAGGATTTGTGCCACGATTTGTAAATCTCACTCAACCATACTTATAAATGTAAAAGTGAGTCTGTTTGTCTATTACGCTTTCACGCTTAAACCATTAAACCGATTTTAAAAATTCTTTCACCGATGGTAAGCTAGTTTATGAGCGAATAACATAGGCTACTTTTTACCTCGATAACTGATATACACGCGGGTGGAGCCGAGTGGTTTAGACGAGAAAACGTATCAAACAAATTCACTTTCACATTTTAAAATATAAGTAAGTATGGATGTATAGAAATTTATATATTTCTTTATCTGCGGAAAGATTTTATCTAGATTTAGTTTTTTATAATGTTTGACCATAATTCCTAATATAGTAGAATAGTGACATAATTGTATTCAAACTTTCTTTTATAAGTAAATAGGAAATTAACTCACCACGAGAGTCCGTATTTACTCTGTCATGATAGTTTTCTGAAGTGTACTTGATCATTTCTTCAGGACACTGCTTGGGATACACTGATATAATGACTAATGGACTGTGGCTCTCGTTCAAGGGGCTTACTTCACATCTGTCCTCAGTCGTGCTACGTTCCACAATATTACTACAAGTACACTGTACATCCTTATCGACTCTCAAATTATTATAAAGGTTTCTTGAAAGGGTTGACACATTAAAGTTTACCTGTGTTCCTTGAGAATTATTGCTGTAAGTAGGTCATGTTTGAAATATTTTTTGCAATAACAATAAAAAATATAATGTGAGATGTATCTAGATATATTTATTACCGGAATTCAAAACCGGTGACCGTAGGTTGTTGGATTCGGTAGTAACTTCCATTTCCATGTTCAGCTTGAACACTCGCCTCTTTGGTAACCCTGCAATTAGTAACTTTTATTTTACACGAACCCTGTTAATTACAATTACCACAAATGGAAGAAATAGTTTGGATCTTACTCTGGGTTATCCTCATAAGGGCTGTACACTGATTCAGGAAGAACTTGTGGCAAAAAGTCTTGAGTCAATTGAGCAAAATCTGTAACTAGAACATAATAATAGCACTTAACACTTCAAGAATAATATTCAAATTTATTATAGGACAGTTTTTCTGTAATTAGCTTGCATCTATCTGTACTAAACCCAGTTTACCAGGCAAGTTTACCATTTTTTTAATTGTCTAATATAAAATTCATACATGCATAAAGTTATCCATTATATACACGTTAAAAAAAAAAGGGTATGTGGCTCATACTCAGAAAAAATGTACATTTGGCAATTTTTTTTGTCCCACTACTTTAATAGCAGATCTAAAATTTGAATATTATGGCACATATTTTTAATCATGTTTACCTCTATGTTTAGTCTTTAATAGGATCTTTTTTTTTATAAATAATATAATATTTTCGTCAAATCATAGTATAAATAGCATGGTTTTTTTTTATAAAATATCTTTCATACAATTTTTTAATGTCCCAATAACGATTTTTCTTAATAAAAGAGTAATTGTTACGACTATTAGCCGACTTACATAAGATTGACTGTAGTCATTTAGGTCTCTTTTAGTCCATCATTTAAATAGTAATACGATTTATTATTTAGAACGTTTAATAAAATTATTAAAATTCATATTAATGTTGTCCCAAAACTATTACATTGCGTTACTCAGTGTTAGTTACGTGCGTATAATTCTGAACGCAGTTGTTCGAAACTGACGGGAAATAATTTTCCTAATATTATCTTAATTAATATTGCTGCTTTTTATAATACACCGTACATACAGAGGTCATTTTGTTTCATCCGTACCCGGGAGTCATTGTGTTGAATTCGCATTTGGAAAAAAATACTGTCAGGGTGATAAACGATTTGAATTTCGGTAAGCATATATGATTGATTGTACTATTTTATGCCCACGTCTTAGTTATAATATATAATATAATATATAGACAAATAAATTCAGTTATTGTGTATACAATAAGTGGTACTAACAGAATTATTTTTCGGGGTTATAATTTCTCAGAGTTTGTCTTCAGTTTAGTTATATTGCGTTATGTTACGAAACTAAGAAATTGTAAAGCTGAAGCTGAGTACGAAGTTACTCTTATTTGAAAAATTAATTATTATCTATTAACATTTTATTACATTAATTTAGGGGAACAGAAGTGTAATCGTGGTACAATGAAAATGACGGGCTTGATTCCCGAACGTGACAATATATTTCTGTTGATCTAAAAAAAATATGATTGACTTATTATTTTACTATTTGTGTGGGTACTTGTACAGAGTAGTCAATAGGATCATTTAGGATATTTTTTATTTCAATAATATTATTATTTTGTTAAGTTGATTCTTCAGTTACCAAAATATTTAAATAATGGCGCAGTACTTAACGGTGATATCTTTTTGTTACAAATTTGTTTGTTATGGAGATTTGAGACTGATTTTCATTATGAAAGATTATATTACTTTTAAGAAATATTGTTATTACTATCTTGCTATTTTTTTTTCAATTTGGTCTTAACGGTTCTCGACAACTTGTTTTCTTTAGTTGCTCGAAATATGGAAGGGTCCGATTAAATTCTGACAATATTACTCCGATTATTTAATTGAATTTTTAGAAATGTTTATGATTGTTCTTAATTATTTTTATGTTTTGAACAATAATTTGTAATTTAACGAGAAAACTGTAATTTAATTTAATTTGTAACTACTACTAAACCTACAATTGCATATTATACTCGTACATAATGATTCATACAATTGAGTTTTTTTCATTATTTTGTATATGGATGGTCCCTCATAATAATTGCAATCAAGCCTTTAGGCGTAATGAGTAATTGAAATTGATTAGCTAAAAAATTATAAGATACTTAAAGTGTGCGTCCATTGGTACTTTTCTTATGGTTCCTACTCCAATGAAAATATACTTTGTACTTGTTCTTCAAGAGTAGCACTCGCTGCACTACGTCACACTTACTTAACTAAACAACTAAAAAGGCTTAGGGTTCTTTAGTCTTAATGATTTGTATCGTTGGGAATATTCACTTATTCCCATCGGGTAGGATGAGCCTGATTTAGATTTCTAAGATATTATGTTTTTATTTAGATTAATTATGCGTGTTCTGTTCAGTATGTACCCTGCTTTACAATATCAGTTTCGTCACATTGATTCTCCATTTCGTTACTTATCAGTTTAGTAACAAATGGCAAATGTACATTTTTTCTGAGTATGACCCATGTGTCAAGTTTTCCTTCTCTTTTGCAGAGTTGGTGTCCTGCGTGGATGCAATCATACGCGTGAGGGCTCTGACGGAGGAAGCAGTTTCCCGTGGTGAAGTGTAGAAGGTCATCGCCAACGCGTGTTCAACACTTTACCCTGGAGTTGCATCAGGGAGGCGTTCGTGTATCACGAAGTGCCTTTCTACCTCCGCCTCATAGTCGGGGTATATTAGTCGGAGAGACTCGTCGTCTACCCAAGTAGGACCGGTCTCGGTAGACGTGAAATCTCGTGCGGTGTTCCACAGGCCCACTCTTGTGGAACAGCGGCTACGACTGGGTGCTTCGTGGTGCCTTCTTGGATGTTGTCGCCGTCACGTGCTACGTCGTGGATGTTGTCGCCCAAGTCATTGAGCGGACCCGGCGGCTGGGTCTCGAGGTGGCTCTGCACAAATCCGAGGCCTTGTCCTTCCCTTGGCCTCGGAGGAAGTCACCTGAGAGAGCCAGCCTCATAGTAGGAGGCACTCGCATCGGCATCGAGCCCTCGATGAGGTATCTAGAGCTCGTACTCGATTGTCGATGGGACTTCGGATATCATTTCCGAGGTCTGGTCTCCAGGGTGGTTGGAGCAGCGCGTGCCTTGGCGCGGCTGCTACCCAACATGAGGGGACCCGATGACTCCTGCAGGAGACTTTACTCCGGTTGTGCGGTCCATGGCCTTTTATGGGGCCCTAGTATGGGCGGGGGCCCTGAGAGTCACTACTGCGACGACCGCAGCGAGTGATGGCCATCAGGGTCATAAGGGGTTACCCCGCACCCCGCCTCTTTCGGGAGCACAAAGGGAACATGGGTGTTCCCACACAGGAGGGTTTCAGCTACCCGCCGTAGATGGCCCAAGGCACGTAGGGGTACCAGGGGTTTCCTTTCTAGGGTACACCTGGTTCCCCGGCTACTGGTACCCGAGACGGCGTGCGAGTTTTAGTCGGTTCGAGTCCGACATATCCACCGGTGGGTGGTTTCCGAGGGGATATCCGCACAGAAAAAAAAAAGGTGATACGGATGTGGCAATACATGTGTTAATTAAGTGCGTAATCTACGGGGTAAGTAATATCATTGATAATATGTTGTAAATCTTGCACTCTTATAATATCAAAACCTAGGCATTTTTTGGCATTTAAATGTTTTATAATAGTAAAGATACATCATTTGTAGATTTATGTAAGAAGTGACAGGATTGAGAATTGGCGTGTTAATGTCCTCAACCCTTGACTATGTGTACACTTGTAAGTCATCAGCGTACAGGTGATACGTACACTGAAAGTGATGGGTTATGAGATTAAAGAATATTGAGAATAATAAAGGAGATAATATGTAATCACATCGGGCGAACCTTTAAAATATTTTATAATTATGTTATCAATCGGGTTATTTATTTTACCGCACAACCCGTTTATGATATTCCAAACTTTACGAGAATTATGAACATTACTCTGTATCTCTGTCAAGAAATATTTATTTTTTACATTATTTATATGTTTATTCGTTTAATTTCTATACTTATTATACAATAATCTATTCTGCAAATTACTTTGATCTTTAAGCCAGATATTCAATCATTCATCTCGTTTTTTACACATCTTTACTATTCACTAATCCACTTACTACTTTGCCTTCTGCCTTCTTTAATTTTTTCTAAAAAAGTATAAAAAGTACGTACTTTACTACATACGTACGTACACTTTATATCGTTTCTATTCTGTCGTTGGTGTCATTCTTCTTATTCCGCGTGATTCTGGCGTTGATACCAGTTTATTTAAAGACAGAAGTTGCATTATCGGATCATGATGCAGAGGTTCCTGCCTTTACGATTACCGCGGCGCTGAGCACTGATATCATCTGTAATGTACCTAGTAACCAAGGTTCCAATTGATAGCAAGGATGCGTCTACTGAAGGCAATATAGTTAAAAAGACCAAGGCCGGATGTGCTAACTCGACAATATTGAGGTTGGAGTGTAAATCCCATGTTGACATTTTGCGGAAGTCCAGAAGATCATATTTGCATTTATATCCTCACGATATGAATCTTCATAAGTGAAGCCTATTGTTTAAGGTACCTACTGAACGATCAATGAGGAAGTAGATAAAAAGCAGTGATGTGGTATGGGGGCCACTAAACGCCCAACAAAGTAAAATAAAATGGATTGAGTCAACTACATCAACGTACTATTAATCTACTAAGACACGTTTAATGACTAAGTTAACAGACAATCTTCTAAAGTACTAATTTAGTACGTACGTACCGTGTGTAGTTCAATAAAAAATGCTACATACAAAAATTATGAGATATTAAACTACCTGAACTTTTACCTGGTTTATCGTTGACTGTAGCGCCATATCTGAGGAAATATCGGTCATCATCAGTGACGCCTAACTGTCCATATATTCTTACTCGGCTTCTATTTGATTGTTTTTTATCGCTCTCTAGATTTCCCTTTGTTTCTTTAGCCTCATAGGTATCTATACCCTTACTTTCACATTGACATGTATCTTTACTTGCCAGATCAGTTTTTTCTATCTCGTCAGTATTGTATTCTTTCGTAACTTGCTTCTGTCTTTTGTCCATATCCAATGACTGGATTAGATATTTAACATTAGATAAGCCGTCAATCGAAATGTCATCTTTACTGTAAATATAGTTATCTACTGGATCAGAAGAAAAGGTGGCACTGCCTGTTGTCTTGATTTCATATATTTTGTTTCGTCGGCCAGCAATCACTAGATAAAGGTTATTCGTTTTTATAGAATTCTCATGGTTAGATGGCGTACTTTGCGCTCTTTTTGGTATATTCCTTCGCTTTCTGAGTGATTTCGCTGTCTTTATTTGATCGGTCTTAGGAATCACAGTGACCTTTATAAGTGGTTTGCTTTTAGAATCTACACGGTTACTAATTCTGTCTGACGTCGCTTTGTTTAAACACGAATGCAAATTCGTGTAACTCAGGACAGTGTATCGTTTTAAAATCTAAGAAAAAAAATGAGTTAGCCAAAATAAATACATGACAACAATAACTATGACAAGGTTCTAACCTTTCTTTCTGATGTCTTCTTTAAAACTAAAGAAGTCGAAGATTCTCTGCCACTTTTAGGAATTCTTCTGGCTTTTCTTTGTTGTGATTTTTCCTGTTCATAATCGACACCTCGCTCTTTTGATGTAAATTTATTAGGGATGCCACGAAACAGTTGGGCGCTGTGCGGCTCACCGTTATAGGAATAACCAAATAGCTCTCTGCTATCAACAACTCTTTTCACTGGTGGACTTAGAAAATCCAAAGAGTCTAAAAAAATATAAAAAAAATAAAATAAAGAAACTAGGATTATAGATAGGCCTTTAAATCTAAATCATGAAAAAAATTAATAAGGACCTATAAACTCAGACTCCGATTTGTAATAATTCATATTGAATTTCGATGCGATATATTAAATAGAAATATCTCTCAGAGACCACATATTTATAAAATAGAATTTTGACAATACTACTGACATTTATTAATAGCATTAATTAATATTAGTTTTCTTTTTTTGTGTGAAAAGTTGAGGTTTTATGTTACCTACATTGAAAATAGATATATTAACTACAATCTAGATAAATGGTAATCTTATATATAAAATTCTCGTGTTACAATGTTCGTTCCCGTACTCCTCCGAAACGTCTTGACCGATTCTCATGAAATTTTGTGTGCACATCGGGTAGGTCTGAGAATCGGCCAACATCTATTTTTCATACCCCTAAATTGTAAGGGTGACCCATCCCTAATTTTTTTTTTGTTTTGCAATACAACGTTTGCCGGTTCAGCTAGTAACTAATGTATATATACGAGTATACGAGGTCAGCGGTTTTCATGGCCTATAAATACAAATAAAACCAGCAGAGAAGTTACTCTCTCAACTCGTTATTATCCTTCACTGTTTTGTTCTTACTGAGACGTGGTGTGATTAATAATGGCCATTAATTCTAATTAGATTAGTTTAATTAATTGCGAATTCTTGTCTTAGCATGTTAATTACTAATGCTAATATTCTTTGCTAATATTGCAAATCGTACGAGGAAAGCAAATGAAAAACGCACACTTATAACTATATACATATCTCTTAATCTGTGATACACATTAGTCGTCCATTACGCTCGCAAACATCAAGACAGCGAAACGAATAACGCGGCGAAAACATATAGAAATACTACATGTTTTGCGTAGTGAAATGCTGTAAAAATGTCTGTACTGTCCGGAAGAAAAATAATCCAAGAATCACGATTTATAGGTAAATAAATAATTCAATCACTTATTTCCAGATTTAAAACATTAAAATTGATCAGCAGCTAGAACAAAATAATTCTTTATAAGCCCAGTGTTGCCAATTTTCACGTGTGTAAATTACTCGAACAAAGGAAATTTTTGTTAACTCAGTTCCGCTTCATACCGTGCCTCAGAGTTGCTCTTCTCAGTAGCTGAGTTGATCTGCTTTCAGTATTTATTTCACATATGCTATAACTTTCCTCAAAAACTTAGCTATCAAAGTAAGACTTTTTTAATTCGGCCGATCGTTCCACATAATTAGAAACAAGCTTTTCAGATTTTGAGAGAATACATTTTTGAACAGTTATTATGGTACAAATGGATAAAGATGGTTGCTACTTATTATACCTTTGTGGTTGTTAACCTGCCAGCCTTTAATTTAAAAATAAATTTTGACAGTTACTAATCATCAACAACGTTTCAGTATTTTGTAAAGTTTAATATAACTTTATGAAGTATAATTTCAAATCACCAATAAATAATGAAGACTTTAAATTAAAGTGAAGATGAATCGTATTGAATCTATGTATTATATACTTTATCAATCCCAAGCAAGGTTTTTCTAAGCCTAAATTGAAAAGTGGCTTCTGCCATCGATTTATAAGTAAAAGGAGTTTAAATAAATAAAATATAACTATGCATAAACAACCTGAAATTGATTTAAAACATTTACATACAACGATGAGACTGCCTGATACAATCAGATCGCGGATGATAATACCTGTATCAAAGAACACTTACTTTAACACAAAATGGACTCCGGTTTCTGCCCCGCTGTGTGCCTATGACATGCTGTTTCATCCACCTGACTACAATCCTAAATCTTCAAGGTCGGATCGTCAAGAACCAAAAATCATAAGGCGAAATATTTGGCAACAAGTAAATATAATTTTTGAGCTTTCACATTCCATGAATCCATTAACGTGCTTTAATTTCCCTGCAATGTGAAGACAGTAAGTAGCTTTATATAGGTAGATCATGCATATGTCCTAACAGTGCCACAGCTTTTGTAAGTAATTTGTTATCGCATCGTATAATATTTTTAGATGTTAACAGAGACAACCTCCGTAATGGCAATACTGCAGTATTAGGGACCTACTTGCAGTTTTAATACGTGAAGCTCGTTATTAATTTTTATTACAACTTATTTTTTCTACCTTCCTTTTTAAAGTTGGATTTCAAAACTCTTTTTTCAATTACTATCGTTTTGTGTGGGTCCATCTTTAGACTTTTTAACCGGAAACTTGTGACTACTTTTGTTTGTTTGTGTTTCGATTTATCTGCAAAGTGTTAAAATTAAAGCCAGGCTTGGCATCTCCTTCTTCGTTAAAGTTAGTTAAGACTGAATTTTTGTCAAAGTTCAATAGTTCAAATATGCGCGGGAGGATATATATGGGAGATATATGATATATGGGAGATATATGGGAGGCTTTACAAACATTAATGAAATAACACAAAGAACGTCCAGACTCCGAACAACAACTTCTGGATCACACAAAGTGTTATCTGTGACTGTTATTATGTGAATTACGTATAGAGATAGTCCGAGTCCAGGGAAAGGATATAGAGTGGTTTTTATCCCAGAAATCATCCTTTAAGGGGGTGAAAAGGCGGGTGAAAAGTAGTATGGGGAATCAATAACTACTAATACTGAACTGATTTAGATGAAATTTGGTATGGAGATACTTTGATTCTTGAGGAAAGACATAGGTTTTTTACAGCGAAAACCGACATATACGAGGGCGGAACCGCGGGCAAAAGCTAGTCAAGAAATAAATAAGTCTTTATTTTCAGGAGACAAAGAAGACAATAGCTTCTACAATTCACTTACAATATGGACGGCCTGCGTGGAAACCTTTTGACCTACCCACTAAACTATTCGTTAGATCTCAAGGTAAAATTCTAAGCATTCCAAGGATAATTGTTTTGAGTTCTAGCAATGTTAAATCATATAATAAACGTACACGAGCTTATGGCTCACGCTCTCAGAATGCCATATTCTTTGGGACTAATCCCTCACACACGCCCCCACCACTGTAAATCCTGTGCATCAGGATCAACAGCAGTAACCTATGAACACGCCGAGTTATGACACTCGAAAAGTCCCAGGAAAAATTAAAATGTTAAAGGAACCCGCAACGAAATTGATCAGAAGAAAATTGGATGAGTTGAAAATAGAATAAATCTACTTCCCCCCTTAGCAAAGCGGAAGACAAGAATTAAGTAAAACTAGGCATACACCCTTCTAAACATCGAAGCCCGGACATAAAATATTATTGATCCTAATATTAAATATAGGTCCTTTACTGTCCTTTAAATTAATAATGCTTATTATTATTATAGTGTTCCAATTCCAACACTGTATTCTCAAGTAGTAAGGCCAAATTGTAGATAATTTGTCGAATATGTTTACAGTCAAGAACGAGAACCCCCACATGCGCATACACCATGCGTTAAAATGGGCTACAATACTTTGCGATGGAAAACCAAGCCTCTGTGATTAAGACTACAACGATATTTTATAAAAAAATATTTGTATGCTTATACTTTAATTAGAATATATGTACATAAAAAATTATAATGTGTGTACTTTCAAATGTTTATTTTATTTCATAGTTCTTAACAGCTGAAAAAACAGTTTTTTTGTTTTCTTACGCTTTTGTTTGACCGTATATAGGTACCCACTATTTAGGAGAGGATTGTCAATGCAACGCAAGTTATCATATGAAAACATATATCATAAAAACATGAACTGAAACAGCTCGGCTGTCACTGACTATGTATGCAAATCAATATCACTACATGCGATTTGACAAGACCTCCGAATAAAGAATTTACTACTAGATAAGTATTAGAGAAATGTTTTTCAGGTAACGCTTTAAACGGCCGTTGATGGCATACGAACATGAAACTCGAAACTTGGTAAACTTCATTGAATTTCGAAAGTATTAAGTATGGAAAATTAACCTACATACACTAGCTACATGACCATCACTGCTTTCTAAGACCTATTGTAAGGGTTTTGTATTGTTATATCGCGATATTCTTTTCTATCATATTTCACAAAAACCAAAAAATCGTGTAGTTAACGCAGTATCGGAAGTACATTTACGTAAATATATTTTGAAATCTGAACACATTTCATATAATTAGCGTTGAAATTGACATGAAATATTGTTGATATTCTTATAAAATTAGGTTACACTAAGATTTTTAGGTTTACTATCTCCAATCCTTAGATATTAACAAAAATGTGTAAATAAATACCTAATCGTGAGAAAAATGTGTTTTGAGGTGAATGTAATAAAAAATTGATTTTATTACTGGGTTATCCAGGCTCGAATGGACCAAATGTTGTGTCTGATAGCTCAGAGACACGAAATTATTACAAGAAACCCATAAAACTGTGGCTTACGCCGCACTCACCGCTGCTTTGACCAGCTCTGCTCCCGAGTTGTCTCTATTGTCCCAGGACGATCGGCTCGAATATGCAGGGTGCACCACTGCTTGTTAGCCCGTTTTAGTATGATTTGAGGATCTTGCTGTTGGTTTTTTTAATTTTTGATATTTTTTACGCGAAGCGCGTGGCGGCTGCGCGCTTTTTTTTTGCGACAGAGGCGCCGCGCATGGTGGCGACGGAGGTCGGCGGCAGCTCGGCGCTCATTTGCAGTGATTGATGGATTGAAATGGCCCAAAACCCTACAATACTAGTTCTTATACTTATGTAGTCATCTAGGCACGTTATTTAAATGTCTGTGGCACCAATATCATTAGTTATATTTATTCAAAAGTTGTTCTCCTAATTTGCATTTGCTGTCCTTTACCCAAAATCAATATTTAAATCACATTAATGAAATTAATGAAAGTTTTAAAACTGTTACGCTGCACGTGCCTGCCTCGGTGGTGCAATGGTAGCGTATGCGACTGCTGTGCTGAGGTCTCGGAGTCGATTCCCGGGTATTATCTACAAAATATTAGTTTCGGAGTTTGGGTGTTTTCTATGTATTTATTTTGTTTGGTTTGAAACTAGATGGCGTTCTGTGTCTGATGTCCTAAATATTATTATTATTATTTATACTTAATTCGAGTTAATATATTTTGGAGGATAGATACTGCAGGTTGCTTATGAAAAAACAACAAATGGGTATTTGCTAAGAAATTGAATTTAAGGTATGTGTACTATTATCGTGTGGATAATTTTCGTCACAGCTTTGAAAATGGTTCTTGTATGGTGGTTTTCACATACTAGTGAAACGATTCACGACCATCTTTAGCGTGCGTGGCAGCCTTAGCTGTGCAGCTATTGTCAAGCAGAGAACACCTGTGTAAATTGTCCTGCTGGTGAACTACGAACGTAAGTTTAATTAATTTTTTTATTTCCCTAATTTTACGCTATTTATCTCCGAATTATAGCAACATATTGCTCACACATCAAGAATAACTACGAGTATGTATTACTAGGCGACATGAACATTGTTCTGTCCAAAAGTAGCGCAATCGCCATCTCGATCGTCCCCCCCCCCCCCTTTCAGCGACTCTCCAGCCCAGATTCCTGCAGGAAGTGGTTGAGGGTCTATTCCAACAGTGGGTGGAATACACACCCCTTTGGATGGCCTCCTTGTCGCCATGTCAGACCCCCTTAGGGCGGTGTTCGACGCTGAGAGCTGGAAGAGCGGGCAGCTGGTCTTTATTAACAATGCCGGGACAGCCTGCCAATTCGGTCACCAGCGACGATCGACGATCAGCGCTGTGCTTAACCTCAGGATCGTGACCGAAGATTCAGTGAGCCGTAGCGGTGTGCTGTTGGCGGTGTCGTTGGACATCGCCAACGCATTCAATAGCCTGCCATTAGGGAGGCATTAGGGAGGCACTGTACTATCACGGGGTGCCAGAGTACCTGAGGTGGCTAGTGGCAGACTATTTAGAGGAACGTACCGACATGTATGAGGATCAAGATAGATATCGGAGTCGCCGTCCATGACGTGCAGTATGCCGCCCTAGGCTCCAGCCTACTCAGCCTGCTGGTAAATCCGCCACTGCCACGCCACATATTTATCCGCGACTCAATAGTGCGTAGTGGTAAATATACACGAACCATAAGAACGGCAATGATAAACAATGCATTGGCCGACCACTTTCTAACCGGTTTTATAATTAATGATAACACGTACACAGGATGTAATAGCCAAACCATACTTAAACTAGACAACAATAAGGTGCATAGTCTAATGCGCAAGATTGACTGGAGCCCGTCGCTCGCTTACGACGATCCTAATGAGGTACTAAAATTCATTAGAAACAAATTTAGCGATATATATGATAGATGTACTTACAGTTGTAAACAAGTATGATTAAGCGAATTTTATGTTATTGGGTTGACGAGAGAATGTTATTATGTGTTTTGACATCGCCAACGCGTTCAACACTATGCCCTGGAGCTGCATCAGGGAGGCGCTCGTGTATCACGAAGTGCCTCTCTACCTCCGCCGCATAGTCGGGGCATATTTGTCGGAGAGAGCCGTCGTCTACCCCAGTAGGACCGGTCTCGGTAGGCGTGAAATGTCGTGCGGTGTTCCGCAGGGGTCGGTGTTAGGGCCACTCTTGTGGAACATCGGCTACGACTGGGTGCTTCGTGGTGCCTTCTTGGATGGTGTCGCCGTCGTGTGCTACGCGGACGACACACTCGTGACGGCGCGCGGCAAGACGCACCACGAGGCAACCCTGAGGGCCACGGCCGGGGTTGCCCAAGTCGTTGAGCGTATCCGGCGGCTGGGTCTCGAGGTGGCTCTGCACAAGTCCGAGGCCCTGTTCTTCCACGGGCTTCGGAGGAAGCCGCCTGAGGGATCTAGCCTCACGGAAGGAGGCACTCGCATCGGCATCGAGCCCTCGATCAGGTATCTGGGGCTCGTACTCGATGGCCGATGGGACTTCGGATATCATTTCCGAGGTCTGGTCCCCAAGTTGGTTGGGGCAGCGCGTGCGTTGGCGCAGCTGCTGCCCAACATGAAGGGACCCGATGACTCCTGCAGGAGACTCTACTCGGGGGTTGTGCGGTCCATGGCCCTTTACGGGTGCCCAGTATGGGCGGGGGCCCTGAGGGCCAGCAACGTCGCGATACTGCGACGACCGCAGCGAGTGCTGGCCATCAGGATCATAAGGAGGTACCGCACGATCTCCTTTGAGGCGGCGAGTCTCCTGGCCGGAACTCCACCGTGGGACCTGGAGGCGAGAGCGGCTCTGTATAAGTGGCGCAAGGAGGCGCGGGAGTTGGGTCGGTGTCCCGAGACTCGAGAAATCGATGACCGGAAATCCCAACTCCGCCAGGTCATCATACCCCTATTAGTGGAAGGAACGACTCGGGCAACCGAGCGCCGGGCACGCCGTCATCGCGGCGGTAAGACCCGTTATGGAGGATTGGCTGGAGAGGCGTCACGGGACCCTCTCATACCGACTGACGCAGGTGATCACTGGGAAAGGATGTTTCGGGGATCACCTGTGTCTGATCCGCAAGGAGCCAACGCCTGAGTGCCACCACTGCGATGGCCAGACCGTGGACACGGCTCTCCACACGCTGGCAGAGTGCCCGGCGTGGGTTGAGCAGAGGCGAGATCTCGTGGCGGCCATCGGAGTGGGAGTTCTCTCGCTCGATAGCCTGATTGCGGCTATCGTGCGGAGCGAGAGTGCGTGGAACCGTCTCCTTCTGCGAGCAAGTTATGCTCGCGAAGGAGACGGCGGAGCGGGACCGGGAGAGGTTTAGGACTCTCCCGGCCCGCCAGGCCCGGGAACGGGCCAGGTGCCGCAGGCGACTCAGGCGCCGGGGGTCGCAGAACGACCTCCGTCCTCCATAAGCGCAGGCCTGGGGGTGACAGGTGAGGCCATCTGTCACCCTAGCAGAAGCAGGCCGGGGTGGCGGCGCGCTCGCTTCCAGGGAGCACAGGGAACATGGGGTTCCCACACGGGGGGGGGGGGGTCGTCTACTCGTCCGAGGTATGTCGGGGCACCAGGGACTTCCTTTCTAGGGTATACCTGGTTCCCCGGCTATTAGTACCCGAGACGGCGTGCGGTTTTAGTCGGTTCGAGTCCGACATGCCCCCGACAGGTGGTATCCGAGGGGACTTCCGCACTGAAAAAAAAAAAAAAAAAAAATAAGTAGGAACGAATTGCTTAAAATCTGGATGAGCGATAGGAGTAACAAGGCAAATTAACTATTATTATATAATTTGTTATACTATAAATATAGAAATAAAACAAATAAATATATAAAGAAATTAAGAAATAATTGTATGAAAAGAAATGTGATTAGTAACTTCCACAATCCGAAAAAAGTATGACAAATTATAAACAAACTATGTGGCAAACTATCAAAATCTGGTGACGAAATAACAACTAATAATATAGTTTGGAAGACTTAGTAAATAAATTTGCAACGGGACTTAGAAATAACGTAGATAATGTTATTCCTGCATCAAACAATTAATTAAGGAAAATACATATGTAAATCATC